ATGCTTGCTGTCATGATGGCCTAAGTGAGTTTGGACAGAACGTATAAATTTCAAGAGCACTTGAAGGGCACAGTTTATATTTCCAAAAATCTGAATTAAATATTTTGCTTGTGATTAGTTTAAAATAATCAAAGAAATATTTTGCTTGTGATTAGTTTAAAATAATCAAAGAAATACAGAGAAGTGTGAAAGAGGCTGCACACAGAGTCTTGGAGATAGTTTAAAAAAGGGAACTATACACATTAGCAAACCTAACCAGTAGTTGTAGTGGTTAAACTTAAGTGTTGAAACTCTGAACTTTTGGTATGTATTCATTAAAAATCCTGCCAATTGTATTATATGGACCCCTGAATTACTTTCCCAAGTATTAATTCAAAGAAAGAACTGTGTACTTAAGCATGTACAATGAGAAATATGAAATCATGGATCATGTGCAATGGTAAGGCAAAAAAACACAGCTGAAATTATGAAGCCAGCTGAGGGTGCTTCCACATTGGTGTTTTGCTCCACCTTGTTGGTCCTACTAAAATAGATATTTTTAGAGCATATGTATTATGTCTTCCAGTCATCCATGCACTCTTTCATCTCTATCTGTGGCTTTTCCTAGATTGGTCCGATGTACCCCAAACTTGGTTTGTGCCAATATTTGCACAAAGCCAAGAGTTAAAGTGGGTTTGCCCACAATGTGGATGGGAAGGTGTGAACTTCCAAACTTTCATGCCCACATCCATGCCATTTTCCTTCATGTCTTCTTGTTCCCAACATCCCCCCCCCCGTTCTGGAGGGTTGTTTGTTATTTTGTTTATTTGACAATTGCTATATTGTTAAATGGAACCACTACCATGTTTCTAAAAAGGGAAAGGCCCTGTAGTGTTGCAGAAGCAGGAGACAGCAGGCACACGGGGCTAACAAAAACACACACAAGAATACCCTGGGGTGAATTCTCTGTTGCTGCTACAGCAAATGCATTTGCAGTGGCAATGAATACACAACTGGAAATCATCATCATCATGTGGAAGCAGCTTCTGAGGGTATTTATGCATTTATTATTGCAATATGTATACCTTGCCTTTTCAGGTGGCTGAAGGTTGAATACAAATCAAAATGTAAAACATTTAAAATGCAATTAAAATAAATAAATAAATTAAAATAAAGTGCTTGCAGCCTATATCACATTAAAAGCCCTTGAGAATAAATGGCCTTGTGGTGCCACCAAAACACCCCTTGGGACTACACCTCCCTTGGGGAGCCTATTTCATAGGGTGGGAACTAACATGGAAACAGCACAGGTGCTGATTGTTGCCAGATGAGCTGTGTTAATAAGGGGAACAGCAAGCAGGTGGCATCCTGAGGATCAAATCTGAAACTGTATGTATAAGAAATTCTGGTCATTGTCAAGTATTATCTTGTCTACTGAAGGAAGAATATGTTACCCTGGAAGCATTACTGGTGACTTGAAAGAATGCTCTCTTTCAACAGTAGTACTGTTAGTAGAATTATACAGTAGGGCCCAGCAGACACTGTAGGGAAGAGGCAATCAAACAGGGTGTTTTTCACAAGAAATCAAGCAGACATTGTTCCTATAGAAGCTGTCCACCTTCCTGTAGCAGAAGGCTTTCCCCCCCTCCCCCCCACTGTGGGGTGGTTTTTCATCCCAATTCCCTGTCTCTGGTCCTGTAATGTTGCATCCACCTGACACTGTTTCCTGTACAAATTTTGATCATCCTTTCTCCTTCAGCGTGGGAAGTCATCCAGATAGGTTAGGTCATGTCTCTTCCAGCTCCAGGCAGGGCTATGCAATTGTTTGCCCGTCTCTATTGGCTAGATCGAGGCTGACCCTCCAGTCTAAATAGCCCTGCAGCTCTGGCTCCTTGGTAATATTGTTAGGATCAATCTTGATTACTCACCATTCAGGATAGACAAGGACAGATCTATTGGCTCCTTCAGGGACAAAAAAAGAAGGATTCTTCGAGGGAGAGGTCCCTACAGTCTAAATAGCCCTGCAGCTCTGGCTCTTTGGTAATATTGTTAGGATTAATCTTGACTACTCACCATTCAGGATAGACAAGGAGAGATCTATTGGCTCCTTCAGGGACAAAAAGAAGAAGGATTCTTCGAGGGAGAGGTCCCTCTTGTCCAAAGCTTCAGGCATTGAAGATTGGCTATGTGAAGCCCTCCCCAGTGCAGCACTGACTGCTGTGAGGCCTAAAGGATCTGAAGCTTTGGGTCTGGCTGCAGCCTCCTTCTGAACAACACCAATGGCTCCCAGTTGTAGGCAGCATGTTCTAGCCGGACCAGCAGACACGGCATGGGATGGCACCTTTCTGGGTAGATTGGAAGCTTCTGAGCAAGCAGGAACATCATGGGAGGCTTCAGATGGTGAGAGACCCCCCTTGGCAAGACAGCAGCTTCACTTTGACCCACAGTCTGGACCCCAGACTCAGTGTTCGGATGGGGGAGAGTTTGGTGATGCAGGGGCCTCTCCAAGTAGCCTATTGCCAGAAGAGTGGTGGCCAGGTGGGAACAAACATGGTGGCCACATCATTTCCCCTTGTGTTTTTTTAGTGCACCCCTACCCTGGGTCTTTCGACCTTCTGTGATGCTGCCACAGGGGAACCAGATGGGTCTGCAGACATTTGGGACCCTGGCTACTGCCTGGATCTTGGCAGATACTAGCAAACTGGCTAGGAAGAGCTGGAAGGGCAAGGAGTGAAAAAGAACTCACTCCAGCAGAGGCAATCCTTCTCCCTCACAACATGGGCCATCCTCCTCTTTGGAAATCGAATCACTGCCTCCTCCACTGGCCAAAAGATTTAGAGTTATCAGAGGATGAGAGGCCTCGGTAGCCAGTCTTAGCAGGAGAGAGATGGGCCTCCAGAAGTAGTGAGAAATTAATCCATCGAGGTTTGCATAGATGTCTCCCAACTTCAGTTTCTGGGTTGGATGAACTCCCTCTGACAAGCAATTCAACTTATGTGGACTTTGAAAAGGAGGTAGAAGAGTGGTCAGGAGACGACACATCTGCAAGAAAATTATTATAGGATTTTTCAGGAAGAGCATTTTCAGGGGCTTCTGCAAAATGTTATCCATACTCTGAATTACCAATTAAAAACAGCAAAAACACCCAGATCAGCTGTTTTGGCCAAGATGGATAGTAGGTGTTTTAATAGGCTGGTGAGAGGGTTCTCAGTTTGTCCCTTCCCTGATTTTTTCCTGAAGATGTGGTAAAGGTGGAGTGGGCAATCCTTGGCAATGGCAATTCCTTGACTGCTATTGCTAGGAAGTTCTATGCTCTTCCAAAGGATGTCACAGACGACCTTTAGTGGACACACTGGTGGTGGCTCTGCACTCAGGAGTGGTATTATCAAAAGATGGCGACAATGCCCTAAAGGATGCTGTGGATAGAAAGAATAAGAGTTGCATTTCCCCCCACAAGGGCTCAGTAATATTAAGGACAAATCCTTGGTTTGTGCCAAAGTTGAACTCCACTTACCATGGAAATCAGCAGCTAGTGTTACCATCATGAGAACATAAGAGAAGCCAATGTTGGTCACACAGTGGCCAAAAGTACCAGGTGCCATCAGGAGGTCCACCAGTGGGGCCAAAGCCCAAAGCTGGTGCATCCTAAGGAAAAGATGTGGCATGAGTTGGATGTCTGCAGAGCTCTGCATACCTATCTGGACAGGACAAAAAACTTTAGACTTTCAGACTCATTGTTTGTCTCTCACAGCAGTCCAATGCTGGGCAAGAAGGTCTTGAAGGCCACTCTTGCCTTTTGGGTCAGGATGTGTATCACAAAGGCATATGAGGCTTTGGATCTGCATGCACCAAAAAATATTACAGCACATTCTACCTGGGCTACTGTGTTCTCTGCAGCTTTTTTTAATAAGGGCCCCAGTGGAAGACATTTGCAGAGCTGCTACATGGTCTACATTCTCGACCTTTGTGAAGCACTACACAATTGATCAGTTGCAAGCTAAGGAGGCATCCTTTGGTAGAAGAGCATTGCAGCAGGTTTTGGATCTGTAAAGAAAGGGTATTATCCCACCCAGGGTGACGGCTTGGGCATATAAACAATCTGGATGACTTCCCACACTCAAGGAGAATGAAACATTGGAACCTACCTGAAGGTTTCTTCTCTTCAGTGTGGTGAAGTCTGCCTAAACAACAGCAATAACAATAACAACAAAGAAAAGAAAAATAATAATGTGATACAACGATGGAGCTGGGCTATAGAGAGTCAGCCTCAATCCAGCCAGTAGAGACTTAAAAAAATTTGCATAGACATGACCTAATCAATCTCCGGATGCCTTTGCCCCACTGAAGAGAAGAAATCTTCAGGTAGGTTCCAATGTTTTGTTCTATGCTATCGGCAGTTTGGTGTAGTGGTTAAGTGTGCAGACTCTAATCTGGGAAAATGGGGTTTGATTCCCCACTCCTCCACTTGCAGCTGCTGGATGACCTTGGGCAAGCCATAGTTCTGACAAGAGCTGTCCTTGAAAGGGCAGTTCTTGAAAGAGCTCTCTCAGCCCCACCTACCTCACAGGGTGTCTGTTGTGGGGAGGGGAAGGGAAAGGAGTTTGCTAGCCGCTCTGAGACTCCTTTGGGTAGTAAAGGGCAAGGTATAAATCCAATTTTCTCTTCAGTTTTTTTTTCCAGATGACAAGCATATTCACTCAGTTAAATTTTATGAAATTTTATTAATTATTCATTTTGTTAATAGGGTTAAGGAGACTAAAGTTTAAAAAAATGGGTATGGTGGAAGTTTTTTGTAATTTTTGACGTTGTAAAATATATACAGATTGTGTTATCTGTGAGCTTTATTTTATATCTACTACCCACATCGAATTTATTTTTCAAAGGCTTATACCTAAAATTATTTTTTAAAGCTTTGAAACTTATTTGTAACTGTTATTACATAAGTAAGGCTTCAAATGGCCATTTTAAAACATTTTTTGGTATGTCATTATTAAAAAAAAAATAAAAATTATATTTTACAGAAAAGAAACTGTGGTGGGCAGATCAAAACTTAGGCCAGCTGGGTACCTGCAATAAGAGGGATGGAAGAAATCCCACAGTGCTGCGGAACAAAACTTCAGGAATCGTGCACATGAAAATTTATGATAAGGCAACACAGCAAGGTAAATGGTGTTCTATATTATTTTTTAAAAATAATACTTGTAGTATATCCATTTATTTATTTAAAGCATTATTTCACTGCCTTTAGGCCAAAAATTGGCATCAATAGTAGCACATAACTCCACAGAAACAGAAAAATCACTTTTTTAATAAAAGAGAGAGAAAAAAATGAAGCTGTGATAAGCCTAAGGTGTTACACAGGATTTCACCCCATCCCTCATATTATCAAATGGGGCTCTGGCTGCTAGATATAGCCACTCCTTTAGATGTAATTTGGTAAGAAACCTTAGCAACTAACAACAACAGTGCAAAGAAGAGGCTTTTTCTCTTCCAGGCCACAGTACGCCTCAACTGCTTCTCACCATCTGCAGCACTGAGTATCACTACCAAATTGATGGAACCCGAATGTTTAAATAATACTAACACTTGCATGTGGACAAATGTTTCACTACAATCTAGCACAAATATCCTTAATACTACCTTTGGTACTGGAGGGAGTAGATATCCATCATGATTAGTAGCCATTGATAGCCCAGTCATCCATGAGTTTGTCCATTCCCCTTTTAAAGCCTTCCAAGTTGATGGCCATGGCCACCTGTTCGACAAAACCTGTTTCATAGTCAGATCATTGTCTGCTGAAGGCACGGGTAGTTATGGTTCCTCATTCCTGCAAAGGCTGTTCCAGTGGTCGACCCCCAGAGAATGATAAATCCACTTAGTTTCCAGAATGCTCTGGGAAAATTTGAAAGTCTTAACAGTGACAAGGCTCTGTGGAATACTACATTGAGGTAATAAAAGAATTGCCTTCACTGCAGTATCCTCTTCATCCCTCCTTTAGGAATCTGGCTCTGTGGTTTCCTTCCAAGAGGGGGAAACAGAAGAGGGTGGGAAATGTCTGCCGTAATATTGACAGAAAACTCATGCCAAATATGACAGACCATATTAAAGAGCCCACTCCCAGGCCTATGAATTTGTAGTGACAGTGGTAAAGTATTATTTATCCTCTACTATTGTGATGGCTGAATGGCATCCAGCACAACTATTAAGAACTGGAGTGATAGTAGGTAGACTATTGGTTATGACACTTTTGCATAATTCTGTGTTGAACAATTTCTTAAGTGATCAATTAGTAGACATGTTAAAATCACTATGTAGTGCTTGTATAGCTTGAGTATTGTTTCCCACCATCAGTGTTGACTTGATACTTAGTGTTGTTAAAGCCTCCACATGAAGTTTAGATACCTGTGGCTCCTGTTTCTGAAAGCCTGCTCAGGAGAAGCTGAAACATACTGTCACAAAGAACTTTAATGTTTCCCTTGCCAATGGGGACGTCCCAGGACATCTTAATGGGGCAAGGGGTTCTGTCCAGTTATAGTCCAGTCTCTGGGTGGCTAACAATTTAAAACATACATGATAAAAATAACATTTTCAAACCACTAAAATCAATCCCCTCAACACACATTAAAACAATTAAAAAACAGGGTTAAAATACATGCACAACATAAAAACAGCCTAATTTGCCTTTTTAAGAGAAAATAATTGAGCATATTATGTCAGTAAATTATTCTTCTGTTTCTGTGGAGTTATAAACTGCTTTGACAGAAAAGCAGACAAATAAATAATGTGTTTCCCAGATAACTCATGTTCAGGGAAGAATTGTGTTGGTTGCTTTGGTTGGGGTATTCTTTCTTTAACAGACTCAGTTTTTAGCTTAGGAATCTTCTTGGTCCTTGTTTTTCTATTGGAGAAAAATGTAACTAGAATGGCCAAAAATGTATTTTTTCAGTTACATTTAGTTTTAAAATGATCTCTCCTTTTGGATGCCCCTAACCTATTCATGCTGACTCATTCTACAGTGACCTTGAAGCTGGACAATTGTGTTGCCTTTGGCTCACACATTTTTGTCTTAGCTCAGGAAGGATGGCTCCAGAGGAAACAATTTATGCAGTAGCCAAATTGCTCACTCACAACTTTAATGCCAGTAGCTCACAAAGTAGAATTTTTGCTCCCAAGACTTCACATCTTAGAGAGCTGAAATCTGGTAACCTGATCTCCTGTTGTTCTTCTGGCTCAGGGCCAGCTGCAGCCAGCTGTTCAATTACTGGCTGAGGGCCAGCAGGTAGCTCTTCATCTGAGAAAAACTGTGCCATCATTCAGCACAGACTGACTTATGACAACTTATTTGTTTCTGGGTACAGTTCTATGTGCTGGTTTTTGACCTTTATAGCCTCTCACACCCTGAGACCTTTGTGCTTACAGGACTGTCTCTTCCCATGAGATGCTGTATGGCAACTTTGCTCATCTCAGTCCAATTTGTTTTCAGTCCCCACCTGTGATGGTTAAAATTGTTTATGTATGGTCATTGGCTTGTACTTGGTTTTGCTCAAGATCTGGAACAGTATTCAGAATCATTCAGGAAGGTACTTAACATATTTCAGATTTTTAGGAAGCAGAACAAAACAGAACCATTTAAAGCAGAGAATGTAAGTGACTCAGTTAGTCAGGTGATCAGAAGGATGGTTTTTGTTCAGTTCTGGTTATTGTTTACGATCTCTTAGTTTAAGTATTGATTTTGATTTTTTTTTGTTCTTATACAGTACCTTGAGTGCTCTTTAGGATAAGGTAGGATATAGATATAGATGGGCTTTTTGACTTTTTTATTAAAGAAAAAATTACAAATAGTTTTTAAAAATTCCAAGTAATTAAAGAACTTTTTAATGAAAAAATTTGAAGCATCACATTCGGAAGACTATAAAAGCCTCACCTCTGGAACTGGACTAGTAATTTTATAGCTCCATGAGTATGCTGTTATGATTGGATTATTGGAAGGCTTAAATTTTGTAAGTGAAATATTGGAGAAAATCCAATTTGCTGAAATTTTTAACTTTGAAAGATTTACTGACTTGAGTGTCTTCATGGAAAATACAGTATACAAATTTATGTTCTGGATTTCATGTGGAACTACATGATCCAACATTTAGTTTGAAACAAACTTTAATATCTGCACTATGGTGTAACATGTTGCAAAATAATCCTATCTGTGTGTATGTACTAGACAAATTTCTGGATTACACTTTAACTTGGGGATGGTACATAAGAACATAAGAGAAGCCAATGTTGGATCAGGCCAATGGCCCATCCAGTCCAACACTCTGTCACACAGTGGCCAAAAATACCAGCTGCCATCAGGAGGTCCAGCAGTGGGGCCAGGACATTAGAAGCCCTTCCTCTGTTGACCCCCCCCCCAAGCACCAAGAATACAGAGGATCACTTGCCCCGGAGTCCCTATCTATACCTTGTGGCTAATAGCCACCGATGGACCTCTGCTCCATATGCTTATCTAATTCCCTCTTGAAGCCGTCAATGCTTGTAGCCGCCACCAACTCCTGTGGCAATGAATTCCATGTATTAATCACTCTTTGGGTGAAGAAGTACTTGCCACCACAGTCGGAACAACGAGACGGACAACAGTTCTTGGTCAACACAAGGGCGACTTTATTAACTATTTACAATTTAATAACAGCAACCGGCAAGGGAGCATCTTCCTAGGTAGCAGAACAGACAAGGCAGGTGTCAGGCTGACCAACCTCCTTGTCCGATATGCGGGCGAGTCACCAACTCCGGTCTTGGGCCATTAATCTGGCTTGCGACCAGCAGCCCAGCCACAGGTA